CCCCCCCCACATTTTTCCTTTAACAAGGAAGGCGTATGCTGACTCTAATTCTGATAGGTATGATCAATCCAGGCCACCGGAATGTCGAGCCAGTGCTTGTACAAATGCTGCCCTTGTGCGATGACTAGGAGCCCAATTGAGGCCTGAATCTTTGATTAAGCTGCTTTAATTGCACCTACCTCACAAAGCCAAAAGCTGCCGCCTGCAAGCGGTCCCAACTAGTTGAGGGTTTAACACGATAACATTCCTCAGTCATCTGTGAAATTGTATTCCTTTCTCGCGTATCATCAAATATATTCTCTAGCAATAGAGGTTTATATAGTTTCGCCTGGTGGTAGACTGAATAATCAGTGATTTTATCTGAAATTCCAGCAACCATGCTATCAAATCAGGCAAGATTCTTCTGCAGTTGGAGACACCCAGGGAACTAGAAGGCCAACTCCTTTGTGTGATATCGAGTTGAAAAAGGAAGAAACCAACCAAGGATCTTATCAGGGAGTTGGGAGGTAGATCGGTTCTTGTAATCCAGATAGATTCAGAAATTGAGATTAAAAACTCAAAATAGAAGAAGAAATTCCCTTCATAACAAGTTATTTAATACAATATACTTCAAATAATAAGGAAGCCTAGATAAAGGAGTAACCTCCATAATAGCAGAACCAAGAAAAACAAGTAGACAAGACTAAAGAAATTACAAAACAAGAATCCTTTAAGGTAGTCTATTCTCGTACATCAATACAAAGCAGGCAGTAAAAATATAGTTGAATGTAATCAAACTGCTGCAATGGCGGTGTGGACAAACAGTAAGTGAGAACAGGGTTATAAGCCACTTATAGAACAGATTAAAAATGGCAGCTATGAGAGTAGAAGCCGGGCTCAGAGGTTAGCATCCAAGTAACTCTCATATACCAATTGGGCGCTCAGTATATCTACAACTGCCGAACCAACAGATTTGAACAGAGTTATCTCCTCAGAGCTATTCCTTCCAACCTTATCTCCTTTGATCAAATCCACCAAGCTCCCACCAATCTCTTCATGGGAAAGAACTCCCCTCTGAAAAGCTCCCACCAACTCTCCAGCTTCGATCAATGCAGCCTCACAGTCAACAAACACTCTCCCTCTCTTAATCGCCTCATCATCGCATTCCCTCATCGATGGCGTAAAGGAACCTACCAAATCCAAATGGGCACCGGCTTTTAACGCCCCACCCATCACAATCGGACTCTCAGAACTCGTCGCACAGCTCACGATATCGCCTAATCCAATAATCTCATTCAAACACTCTGTATGCTCAAAACAAACACCATTCAAATCTTCTTCTTCTTGCAATTTCTTAGCCAAATCACTAGCTCTCTCTACCCTTCTGTTCCATATGATTACTTTCTTCAAATTGGGCCTCACTGAAGCATGAGCTTTTACTAGGTAAGGAGCTAATGACCCCGCCCCGATCATCACGAGAACCTCCGAGTCTTCTCTAGATAGGAATTTCGAAGCTAAAGCAGAAACACATGCAGTTCTCCAAAGAGTCAATTCGGTTCCGTCCATCACAGCTACAGGCTGGCCCGTAGTCGAATCAAAGAGGAGGTAACTCGCATGGATTCCGGGCAAGTTTCGAGCCGAGTTCTGGGGGTAAGAAGTTACGAGCTTGACACCGATGTAAGGCAAAAAAGGAGAGAGAGACCAAGATGGCATCAAAAGCAGAGATGACGAAGAATCGATAGAATAGTTTTGTCGAATAGGTGATTGAATCGCTGTGGAAACCGAGGGGAAAGAATATTGCAAGTGTTGGAGGAGAGATTGATAAGAGAGCAGAGATCGCATAGCACCATTGTCAAGGAAGATTGGGCCTGCACCGCTATTCTTTGATCTCTTAACAAATTTTTGATTTTCTTCTTCTCTAACCGTAGCTGCCATTGAAACTTCGGTCTGCAAACGGAGGAAAGCACAACAGACCACGGAGTCGAAAACTTTTTTGTAGGTCAAGAAAATCCAAAAGCCGTCGTTCGATCGTCAACGATGATATTTTCGTCAAGACTCGGGAATCCAAAGCCTCACCCCTCAGTCTGGTCTGTGGGTAGATTCTTCCAAAGTTTGGTATGGCTAGTTCTTTTGGTCTGTTTTCTTGTTCTGTTTAATAAATTTCAGTTTTATCGAAAAAATGGTAAATTTCTTAAACTATCAGTTAATTTACATCACCTCTATTATTTTTGATAATTGTCATCGCTTTTAAAATATAAAAAAGGATAGAAAGTCAGTTTTACCCTTTCATTAAATTCCGTCCATCTTTCTTCAAACGTCGGCACTTCCTTCTCAGTTTCATGCTAACCCAGAATTCAATCACCTGTTAAACCATCATCTCTGTTGTGGATTCACCGTCTTCTTCCTCTCACTCTGACTATGAACTCCACCTCTCGGATGAAAGCTTTTCTAATATTATTTCCACATTTGCTCAAATCCAAGAGCTTCTAATATTATTTCCACATCTTCCTCAAATCCAAGAACAAGCATATGGTCTGTTTCATCAAGGACCAAATATTGAACCTCCCCCAACTTAAGGCTATTACCATTGATCAAGTCAATGATACGCCCCAGACCTGCTGAGGGGACAAAGAAACAATCATCGAATCGAAAGGGGTTTAGGGTTCTATTCGGTTTTATGGAGAATCATCGTTTGAATCTCTCTAATAATGGCGGGCCTATCCCTCAAATGTGGAGACTATGGGGCTCGAAAGGTGTATAATGGTGGCAATAGGAACTCCATATTTGGATTTTGCTTGCCTACTTGCTTGGCGGTGGCAAGAGGAATGGTTATGACGCAGAGGATGAATGGGTGAATCATAGTAGACACTAGACAACAGTACTAACAGTTCCTCCTTGTTTAGGTGGCACCATCTCTCCGCTCAACCAGTCCTCTCTCCTGGTCTTCAATATTTCCCGAAATAACCTCACCGACATCATCAGTCTCACAGCTCCTCACTGCGTTCACTGCCGTGGATGACGAGGTTGATGAGCAACCCAAGACTAGAGGTTGAGCAGGTGGTCGACAGAGAGGGAGTGATCTCTATGAGGCAATTTTCTTCTCTTGCAACATCTGCTTCACAATAGTAGCCGTGTATACAAAAGTATTTGGTCCTATTTCTTTTGAGTTCACATCCGCCCCCCATAGCGCGGAATGGTGTAAACAGGACCATCATCCACCCCATGATGCTCCACTTCACGCAACCAATTATTGAACTCTTCAATGAGTAGTGCAGAGTTAGATACTCTAGCCATCTGCCACCTCGCAGTCGAGCTCTCATTGCCCCAAATACAATTCTGAATGGTCTTCGCTTTCGATACGACGATCACTTCGTCTCTGTTGTTTCCGGCACGACGATCGTCTCGCTTCAGGCACAGCGAGCAGGTGGTCAAGAGAGACAGAGACAAGTGGTCGACATCCCTACCACACCAACAGGCAATGTGCGAAACAACAACATTCTCCTAATCTCTTCACGGCCCTAATCATCGCTTTCTAGTACTTCTCCAACATCGGAGTCCTGAATAAGTACCTCCTCAGCTACTAGGGATACTGCTACCCCATCTTCCTCACCATTCTTTACAGCTTTGTCCCCTTTCAGCACATCGCCTCTCGTCGTTAGTTCCTCAAGATTGCTTCCCTCAGTGCTATATTTTGCTTCTCCGTCGTCTGCAGCAACACTTCTCTTTTCTACCTCCCTGTTTCTTCAACCAAAATATTGGAGATCATCCCTTTTTAAAATTTTCCACGTGTATTTTTAAAATACTTCTCTTTTCTCTTTTTTAAAATATTGGAGATTATACCCTCTCCCTCCTATTCCTCCTTCACCCTCATTTCTTAGGGATGGATTCGTCTTCATCCCGGTGTTGTTGGCGACAACTACTGAAAAAGGTGTGAAGAGCTCGGTTTGTGGCTGCTGAAAGGAGAGGAGGGTGAAGGAGGAATAGGAGGGAGAGGGAAAAGGACGAAGGGTAAAATTGGATTTTAAAAAAATATATTACTTGGTGTCGCGTGTATACGGGTTTTGATGGTATATTAATAGATGTTAATGATAGAGGTGGAGCTGGTCAATTGTTAGAAATGGTAGGATGGTTTAAAATAATAGTTAAACAGTAAGGGTATAATTTGTCAATTAGCTAAACAATAAGGATAGTTTAAGAAATTTTCTCAAAAAAGTAAATTACAAAGACCCCATACTATGGGGTTTGTGACAAAGTCTTCCCTATACTTTTTGTGCGACAAAGACCCCCCAAACTTTGGCCATTAGACAAAGACTCCCCTATCTTAGCGTTCCATCAGTTATATTTGAAAAATGTTTTATTTTCACTATCATAATTTTTAATCCCCAAATTACCCTTATGATATTTTCTAGACAAATTTACCCTTATTATCATTTATCCTTCTTTTACCTTATAGACAAAGTTCCCTCTTTCTTTTCAACCATGGTGAAGCTCGTGAAGCAGAACAAGTTTATTCACCATGTGAACTACATCAATGGTTTCATGGGCAAAGGGGAAATGTAAGTGGGTGTGAATTGCATCAATGATATCATTCGGGGTGATTGTTTGTTTAAAGATTTGGTTTCATGTGATGGGGTCTAATTAGGGATTAGGTATGATGATGTTGCATAATCACGACTATCAGGAGGGAACCGTCCAGATTTAGTAGTGGATTTATGAGCATTTAGGCTGAAATTTGGTTTTTTAGAGTTTTGGCAAGTTTTAAAGAGATTGGTGTGGTCCAATCGAGAATCTGGAATGTAGGAGATGGGTCAAAGAAGGGACCGAGCAAAAATTGGGTGCTGACACCCATCGTAAGCCTAGAACTTCAAAATCACATTTTCCTTCAGCTTTGTCGCAACCTAGAACATCAAAATCGCCCCTTCAGCTCCACCGTAGCCCAAAACATCAAAATTGCACCTCCTTTCATCTAAATTGCACCTTCCTTCATCTCAACTGCAACCTAGAAGTTCAAAATCGCACTTCAAAGCTTGATCATTACACCTCAAAACTTGCTCACCACACCTCAAAACTTGCTCATCACACCTTACCACTTGCTCATTGCACCTCAGCACTTGCTCATCGTACCTCAAAACTATTGGAGTAGAGTTAGAATTTGTTAGATGGATGGCCGAACCATGCTAAATGTTTTGGCTAAAATTCAAAAAATTTTCAACCCTTTTGGGAACAGATTTCCTAGTAAAATTTGAAATATGAAATTTTAGGATTGTTCTTACATTGAACCGGACTAGGGTTGTTCATAAGAAAGCCCAACCCGACCAAACCGACCAACCCGGACCGACCCAACCCGAGCCGGCCAGGTTTTCATCAGCACCGGTCGGTTTCAGATTGGGCAAATTCATAAACCGATATATTGGGTCGGTTTCAGTTTTTACACAAGAAAACCGAAACCGACCCGAACCGAACCAATTAGTCTTCTAATTCCTACTTAACTAAATTGTATCTATCCTAGTTTCTATAGTCTTTTACACCAAATAGGCAACCCATTAGGCAATTACAATTAGAATTAGGTGTCCTTTTTTACCTAGATTAGAATTTAGAAAGTTTCTTGAAATATAAATATTTCAGCCTTCTTTCTATAAAGCAGTTTGACTTTCTATTTTATTGATAACTTTTGTCTTCTCTTCTATTCTCTAATTTGGTCCGCCCCCCTCAAATCCTCAACTCAAGACATCATTTGATTTTTGAACTTGGCTCTCCCAACTCTCCCATTTTCTCAAATAAATTTCCTTCTAGTTCTAGGCTTCTCTGTCCTTTTTGTACAGGAGCAAAACCGAAACCAACCGAAACCGACCCAGCCCGACTCAAACCGACTAGGTCAGTTTTGCCTATCAGTGGGTCGGTTTTGGTTTCCACCTCAGGTAACCCGACCAGGTCGGGTCGGTTGGGAAAACCCCAGTAAACCGACCCAACCCGACCCGTGAACAGCCCTAAACCGGATCAGATTTGAAACCAAAGAGAAGGGAGATTATACCTGATATAGAGACCACAAATCACAGCTTCCAAGGTGGTAGTTCACGCCCAATATCAGTCCTAAAACCGGCCTCTAACTAAAGATGATGCAGTGTACAAAGAATTGATTCAACAACACTTGATTTCAGCAAATTTGCTATCCAACTTATTTGGATCGAGTAGGAAAATTGAGCCTTAGATTCTTCTGAGTATTTCTTGCTTACAAAGAAGAAAATTGATCAAAATTAGTTCTTGAAATCCTATGTCGGTCTAGGGTTTATTGGGAGACGAGAGAACAAGAAAGAGAAGTGTTCAAGTCTAGTTTGCCCTCTTCTTCTTTTATCTCTTAATGGAGCACTCTTCTAATCTAACTAGGAGATTATTCAAATCTGAATTGGATCTGGACTCTTTTAACAATTAAATTTTATTCACATGACAACTTAAATTTTCATGTAACAACTTAATTAAATCTTATTAAAATTGGGCCTTTGGCCCATTTTCTTCAAAGGCTCACGACACTAGGTGTTGTATGGCTACTTTAGGCTTGATATTGTATGGTGTGGGACCCCACAAAGGTTTCTTTCATGTGAATAAGGATCCAGCCCCACCTCTGTAAGAGGCTAGGCCGAATTCACTATTTAGAGTAGTGAACCCCTGAGCCAATCAGCATGGGCTCAGTTTGGGCCCAATAGTTACACTTAAATGATCATTGGATCCTGCCACCCTATGAAGACCCAAGGATAGTGTACTTAAGTGAGATAAAGCTCATCAGGTAATCAGACTTGTAAAAATCTCTTACACTTAACATATCGGTCCATAATGATCACAACACTACCTGGCAGGGAAGGACCTTTCCCCCAGCTGCAAGGTGCAATGCCCCACTCTCTGCTCAGACGGATTCCGGGATTAAAACCTTTTACAAACCTTTTTCATAAAATAGTAGTATATAACATATAAATACACTTTGCAAAAATAGATTTCAAATACACTTGAAATCCACTACCTGAAGGGAAGGGAGATCCATCATATGGATGGCCGAACCATGCAGGAAGGCTGGGCGAAATTTCAAAGATTTCTTTCTCCCTTCCGGGAATCCTATTCCCAGTTTTAGAAAAACTGCATTTTTCAAGGATCCTTC